TTTAAGAGCGTTTGGAAAGAGACAAGTCTTCATTTGTGCTGCTCTGGTGGGAGGGGCCACGTACAGAGGCTCTGGAGACGCTGCTGTGCTAAGCGACGCAGAAAATTACCAATATTTTAATAGAAAATATAATTAAAATATTTTAGTAGAAAATCACCCAAGGGCCACATTAAAGGTCTTGGAGGGCTGGATCCAGCCCCCGGGCCGTATGTTTGACACCTGTGCTCTAAACAAACAACAAAACTGTAGCTGTAACAAAATAAGTTATTAAAATACACCTAAAAAAGACCACAATATCGATATTGTTTCATCACATTAAACAATATGATATATCAATATTTCAATATTTTTGCACACCCCTATCGAAAATGTAATATTCACATAATCAAATAGATGCTGTATTGTATTGTACAGGAACAATTCGATAGACCAGACCTGGGCATTGTACAGTTCTGAGGCCACATATGGTTCTTTGGTTGACTCTGACTGGCCTGTTTAAGCTCATTTGGAATTACAAAATAAACATGTTTTATAATTTTACCTCATGTATGGACTAAAGCTGAATTGTTTTTGTTTCAGAGGTGTTTTTTGTAAGGCAACCTTCACTTTTTCATTGCTTAGTCATAACATAAACTCTCACCAGTTTTATCAGCTTGTCAAAACAATGATATTTTCAGCTTTTTATACAGAAATACAGTTAATATTATGCAGACCTGAGTACGAATGTTAACAATATTTTCTGTTTCTCATGTGGCCCCATAGAAAAAAATACTTGCCCACCCCTGATCTATACAAAACTTCAAAGCAAATGTACACAAAGGGTATTTAAAGGTCCTGTATTTCGTACCAGGAGTTGTGTCTTGTTTCATTCACACATGTTTGAGTAATTCTTGAGTCTGTCTACATCTCAACAGCTCAAAATGCTCTGTTCCACCTCGTGATGTCATGAAGTTTTTAAGTTAACAGCTAACTTTAGTACAGATTGGCATTTTCAGGGTTGAAATGATCCATATGATTCTAGTGAAGGTGTATGCGGTTTAAAAACACAGTGGAGCACTTTCTGTATTACCACATGACATCACAAGGTGGAACAGTTTTTTACTTGAGAAAAGAATTCAGCCTAAATATGCAGCGTTTGTGTGTTAAACATGTGTAAATGCAACAAAACACAACTCCTGGCAAGTTTTTGACGAGAAAACAACATTACAACATAGATCAGAAAACAGCGTAATATGGACCCTTTAACACTTCTCAAATGTCTCGAGCCCAGAGAAGAAAGGGAACACATTAATGAATTTTAATATGCTGCTACAATTCACTAAAATGCAGGAAGAAATATCAAGTAGTCCCCATTTAAGCACCATCTGTTGATTTTGGGGAGTGAAAAGGCATTGACGAGTGCAGTCCAATCACTCGCACAGATTTCAGTAAAAAAACAGCATTTACCCAGAAGCCCCGTGGCAGCTGGTCTGGACTGCGACCTGATTATGTTTGGATGCTTCTGCACTGAGGAGGCTCTAATATCACATGTTATAATGTCTGTATAATGGGGCCCATATGCCACAGTCCAAAAACGGTTTCTAAGGAGACCACAAGTGTCGAGAACAAATCAAGGAAGGAATAAAGCAAAATGAAAGATGCTCATGTGAAAAATCCTAATGTCAGATTTATTTCAGGTGGGTTTTTTTAGGCGGGATTGGGGTTTTTCTGGGTGGACTTTACGTGTTCTTCCTGTGTCGGTGTAGGTGGGGTTTGGCCCAATCACTAAAAGCAATCAAACAATATTTAAACACTATTATTTTAAATGAAAGGGTCCATATTATTCTATTTTCTGATCTATTTTATACTGTTGTTTCCTCATCAAAGACTTATCTGGAGTTGTGTTTTGTTTCATTCACACGTTTAACACTCAAATGTGGTAATCAAGGAAGTGCTCCACTGTGTTTTTAAACTCCATGCACCTTCACTAGAAACATTTGCACGATTTCAACCCTGGAATTGCAGATCTCTACTGAACAAAAAGGTAAAAGATGTTAGTTTGAAAACTACTGCTTCATGACATCACAAGGTGGAACAGATCATTTTGAGGGAGATGTAGTCAGGCTAGGGATACAATGATCCAGCTTTTTCAGTTCCAATACTGATATTGATACCTTGACTATAAGTATCTGCCAATACCAGTGCAGAGATGAAAAATAATAGCCTGATTCATCAGCCGGTTTCACTTCATGGAAACAGTCTGACCTTGCAGCATTAGGATTTGATAGCTTGACGGAAGGTGGGTACTTTTTTATAGTGTAGTATATAAATATGTAGAAAGAAGGGCAGTAATGTCTTACCCCTTGATAAAATTCACCAAACATTCCCGTTGACAACACAGAATGTATGGCTCTTCACTGATTGGCTGGTGCCCGAACTCGCACTTTTGGGGTTCTTGCAAACTGTCTAGTGTATTCTGATTCCTGACTAGTCCCTGGAGAGAAATGAAATTGAGCAGAGGCACTAGGTGGCGCCAGCCTGGCTAGGGAAAAAGACACTTATTTCATTAAAACACAGTTAACTTCTTACACGTGAGATCCAATCCTGTTCTGTAACTGTTACTTAACCTTCAAATAACTATTGAACAGTTTTGTAAGGATAAAAGTTCAAACAATATGAGATGTTCCAGGCCAAAATCAGCCTGTAAATCTGCCTTAATGCATCCAAATAAAGGCCCAACCATCGACTGAACCGATATCATGGACGTGATACCTGATCCAGCAAATTTTTCAGTATCAATGTCAATGTCCAATACCAGTATCTAAGACAGACTAATAATAAAGGATTAGTCAAACGTGTGAATGACATAAAACACAACTCCTGGTATGTTTTTGATGAGCTCTGAATCTTAAAGAATCTTTTTATATAATCAATAACCTTTAAATTCTAAAACTCAGTGGAAACGTCCTGATTAAATAAAGAATAATGTTTTAATATTGCATTAGCTTTGCATTATACCTCACAAAATGAGGTCAATTAACATGGTATCAGTATATGAGGTCATTTTTAATTAATTTAGTGATTTGTAGTGTTATTTTACAGAAGTGCATTTGAAATAAGTTCTGTATTTTTAATGGGAGTTCAGGGGTAATGTTATTGACCACAGAACGTCCACTTCTCTGGCTGGTCTTTTCTTTCGCTTGATTTTATCTTTTATTTTAGACAGTTTGACGTCAAAATGGCAGTCAAAAAAGACTGATCGAAATGCTGGACAAAATACCCAGCTTAATTAAAAAATATTGTATTTTAGTCATGAAATGTGCAAGGATAGTTTTAGCAAAAGTTCTTGTTTTAAAAGCAAGGACGAAGCAGAAGGGTTATGAAAACTTGAACCTTGCATAAGACTCTTTTGTTTCTGGCCTTAAGCACAAAATCCACTCCCTTCTCTTCAGAGGCACAAGAGCAATCCAAACCATTTCAAAAGTTTGAACTATGAGCTTTAATCTTTTCACCACTAAACCTCCCATTTACTGACAGACGAGAATTCCTGCTACACCAGTGCACAGGAGGCATGTTCACCCGCCCAGAGGATAGCACACATGATAAATAACTATTTAAAAAGCGCACTGTACCTAAATGATGAGAACCAAACATGCAGTACATCTGGGTTTCAACGCACATCCTATTCATGAGTTTCAGCTTTCAGGTATATGCCACTCTGATTAAAAAATATTTTGTTTTGAATTGTTAATTGTGATGCCAACATGCCCTTAGTTTTCATCACTCTGAAACCCATGGATAATTGAAAATGTAGGCTGTTTTTTCCTGTTCTAATTACAGGCTCCAGTCACTAACAGAATCACAATCAGAGTCTGAAAAGCAACATGACTCACAATATATCACAGAAGTATAGATATCGTAAAATACTGGCCAATGCGAAAAGGAAAGTATTGCAAGATTACAGTAATTACAGTAATTTTAAGTCCATTGCCATCATATCGAGGTTATCTGGGCAATGAGGGCCTCACACATACAGGATGTACACCTCATTCCTGCAGTGGAGTGACCCATTTAGCTTTTTTCTACTGTGGCTTGATTTGTGACTTGATGATTTTGACTGATTTCCCGTGATCACATCTGGTTCACTTGCAAGAGGCTTACTTCCTGCATGCTACCATGGAATAAAATTACTCTGAAGCATGACGTTAATCTAGTCTTAATTACTCCATTAGCTGAGTCTCAAATCGTCCATATTTCAAAAGACTCAATCAGACTTAGGCATTTTGAGTTAATCACAGTGAAATGCATTCTACAGTATCTGCACATGAGTGTGTAGTGTGTAGGCTGCACAGTAGAGTGTGTGGCCTTTTGTCTGTGAGGAGAATACAAATGTTTGAGTTGCTCTTAATCATTCAGTCATTGTATAATAAAATGACAGTAGCTGTGTTTTTACTGAAACAGTTCTAATCCACTTCAGATTCACAGAGGTTTCTACATCGACTTCAACACACACACAGTATAACTCTACAACAGAAGCACAGGCAGCCTGCACTGAACTGGATTACACAATACTTCCACATGGTGTCGAAGGTTCAAGTCTAGGATTGATGTTGAATAAACTTCAACATCAGTAAAACAATTTGTTTTACAACAGTTATGTTTTATTCAGCAATATTTTACATATGCCTTGACTTGAGTGATTGATGTTCCCTATTAGATGCTGACAGCACCTCTACAGTCGCCCCAGGCCTGGTGTTAAAATCTGGAATCTGGAGCAGGAGAATCCTGTTGACCGGGATCACTATCTCTCCATTGGCTGTTCCATGGGTGGAGGCTCCACAGCTGAGAGTGGGCACACCCCTAACCTGTTCTGCAGGTAGCTCCCAGGTCCCAGAGGCCCCAGTGCTCCACCCCCCTACTCCACTGCATAAAAACACAGGCAGCGAGCAGTAAGACACTCAGAGGCATCTGGTCCTTTCTGAAGCATCTCCTCTTCAGCTCAGCTCACACCCACTGCAAACATGTCAAGGAGAGCCATGTCTGTGTCCAGCTACAGCTCCAGGGGGTCTGTGGTCCCAGCCACCTCCAGCTTCAGTGTGAAGAGGAGCGGCTTCAGCTCCGGCTCTGCCTATGGCAGTGGTTCTGGCTTCGGAGGTGCTGCCGGTGGCTACAGCAGCGGCAGCATGTTCTCCTCCAGCATGGCCGGTGGTTCTGGTGGCTTTGTGGCCCCTCCCATCACTCAAGTCACTGTGAACCAGAGCCTGTTGGCCCCTCTGCAGCTGGACATCGACCCCACCATCCAGGCAGTGCGTACCAACGAGAAGGACCAGATCAAGACTCTGAACAACCGCTTTGCCTCTTTCATCGACAAGGTGCGCTTCCTGGAGCAGCAGAACAAGATGCTGGAGACCAAATGGAGCCTGCTCCAGGACCAGACCACCGCCCGCTCCAACCTGGACGCCATGTTTGAGGCCTACATCGCCAACCTCCGCAGACAGCTGGATGGCCTGGGCAACGAGAAATTCAAGCTGGAGGCAGAGCTCAAGAACATGCAGGGCGTGGTGGAGGACTTCAAGAGAAAGTACGAAGACGAGATCAACAAGCGTGCCGCTGCAGAGAATGAGTTTGTTCTGCTGAAGAAGGACGTGGACGCCGCCTACATGAACAAGGTGGAGCTGGAAGCCAAGGTGGACGCTCTCCAGGACGAGATCAACTTCCTCCGCGCCGTGTACGAGGCCGAGCTGCGTGAGCTGCAGGGCCAGATCAAAGACACCTCCGTCATTGTCGAGATGGACAACAGCCGCAACCTGGACATGGACGCCATTGTGGCTGAAGTGCGCGCTCAGTACGAAGACATCGCCAACAAGAGCAAGGCCGATGCTGAGGGCTGGTACAAGCAGAAGTTTGAGGAGATGCAGACTTCTGCCGGACAGTACGGAGATGACCTGCGCACCACCAAAGCTGAGATCGCAGAGCTGAACCGCATGATCGCCCGCCTCCAAAACGAGATCGAGGCCGTAAAGGGACAGAGGGCCAGCCTGGAGGCCCAGATCACAGAGGCAGAGGAGCGCGGAGAGCTGGCCGTGAGGGACGCCAGACTACGCATCAAAGATCTGGAAGAAGCTCTGCAGAGAGCCAAGCAGGACATGGCCCGACAGGTGCGTGAGTACCAGGAGCTGATGAACGTCAAACTGGCCCTGGACATCGAGATCGCCACCTACAAGAAGCTGCTGGAGGGAGAGGAGAGCAGGCTGGCCAGCGGAGGCGTCAACGCCACCATCCACGTGCAGGAGTCCTCCAGGGGAGTGAGCTCTGCTGCTGGGGGTTTCGGCTCCGGCTCCGGCTTTGGCTTTGGAGGCTCAGCCATAGGAGTGGGAGGAGGCTCCATCAGCAGGTCCTCCATCAGCACCACCAGCTCCAGCAGACGGTACTGAGCCAAGACCAAGTCCCGCCCGGCCCTGAGAGTGTTAAACTTAGAGAAGACATTTAAACTTGAAACAGCCTGAACATCATCATTCAGAAATGTGCAGTTTGAACTAATGCCTGTTGAACAGTTTTTCAATGTTTCTCTGCTAAGTTTAATATTCCTGTGAAGTTTCCCAAACCAGATTTATTTCACTTGTTAAAAAAGAAAAATGACAACAAATAAATCTGAGATTTAACCTCCAAGTTCTTCTTATTGAGAAAAACATTACTGACCACTTCTTCTACTCAGTTATAAACACATTATAAAGATGCAGTGCAAATTAGCTCATCAAATTGGCAAGCAGAATGAAAAGAGAATTAAATTATGCTAACATTTAAATGTTTGATATTGAACCGCAACAAAATAAATGAAAGTTCATGATGACTGCAGTTATAGAAACATAATTTCCTCTGCAAACAACAACATATCTAGTCTTACATCCAGAACAGGAAAACTGATTATTTACCAAAGGTAGAAATTCATTTTGGGTTCATCACCATGAAAAAAGATTGCAAGTTTAGTCAAATTTTCAGACCTAAATATAGAATCAAACAATAAAATATCAAAGATGAATAATAAACAAATATTACTGCAAACAAAGTACAGTACAGTAGCCAAAGTAAAACACAGAATACACAGAGTTCATTATAACAACAGGATTTCAGTCTGCATTCCCAACAGCACATAAGAGTTTTTTGCTCACAATGGCACAGCAAATTTATCTGTAAAGCACAATTGAACACAAAGTAATTCAAGGTGATCTACAGAATAAACAATAAAATCTCAAATTAATCAAATAAAAGCATAAATAATCATAAAATTAGAGATGTACTTTGGTGTTAGACCACGGAGAGACTTGAACACAAACATAGCAGCTTTAAAGTCTATTCTCTGAGCCCCAGTGCAGAAACCTGAGACCAGAATGCATGTGCTACGTCCATCTCAATATTCTTTAGTGTGACAGGTCAGGTGTTGGAACACGTTAAAATATGTCCCTTGGTTTTGGGTAATTTAAAGCTGAAAACCTGTTAACCCTGCTGTTTAAATCACTTCAAACTAGTGTTGTCACAATACTAAAAATGTCAAACTCGACTTCGATACTAAGAAATAGACTCAAATACTCCATACCGATTTTGATAATCTTTCTTTAGACAATAGAATGCAATTTTTAGCATTAAATAATAGTACTTTCTTTTGTGGTCCATGGGCGTACAGTGATAAACGTGGCCTTATACTTGTTCTGATACAGCTCAAGTTTATTCTAAAGCTATTCACGAGACGTTCATTAATGCATAAGGTTCTTGTATTTGTTTATAGCTCTGGAATGACTTGTACAGAAACATTTAAGTCCTCATTCTTGCAGATTTTTTAAAGGAAACTGAAATAAGAGCTTAGAAAAATATGAACCTGATGGCTTCAAAATTCTGTAAACACTTCACTTGTGTATATATCGAGTTTAGAGCTTGATGTGTACATTTATTTTCACTTATGCTAATGTAAGAATAAAACACTTCTTGTTATTTTTGGTCTCTCGTAGTAATAGAAAAGGTATATTTGAAAATGAATTAGTAACATGTAAGTTTATTTATAGTGGACTACATCACATTTGACAGACATTTGCTTCTAAAATTGGATTTACAGCACCATTACACCCCAACATCTATAATCACGATTAATGATTCATGCATTTTGTCAACGTTTTACAAGAAATTAAGGTTTTATCACTATATATAAATCTTAGAAAATCAAAAAAGCTCTGTAAAGATTTTAAAAAGTGTTCTTCCTCAGTCATTCAGAAAAAAATCCAACTGGTAAAATTGAGAAATGTTATAATTTTATAAACATTTATTTATAGAGCACATCTTATGCATTTTTGAACATCGTATTGCCACAACAAAACTTCTGTCGTTCTTTAACTGAATGATTTTGCAGACTGGAGAATACAACACATTTATGAACCACATTCTACTTCCCCATACTTGGGACTGACAAGAATAAGCAGACTTGCCCCACTGCTGACTTGTGCCCCCTTGTGGTGTGTTTATGGCATCTTTCACACATGTAAAACCTGAAGAACGCATTACAATGTGCAACAATTAATCAAACAACACAGACGTAAGCAGGACAAATAGCTGTACAACAAATCTGATTATTTAAATTTGGTCGATGACTGAAAATTTATAACAATTTGTGAATCGCAAAAGTGCAATGTTCCAACTCTCTGAATGTATTGTGCAGTTTAAATGTAATGTCTAAGCACTAGAATCTGACACTGACACATCCCAAACTGATGAAAAAATATACAGTCAACTTAAATCATGAATAACTAAAAATGTCTTCCGTTGTACTCCACAGACTCAAAAATCTACAGCTGGAATGGTCTGTCCCCCACATTTGACAAGGAATAAAAAGGCTCTTGAAATGAGCACAGTAGTGGTATTGATCACCTTTATCTATTGAGTCTCTATGGATCAATGTAGAAGGTGGTTGGGTCTGAAGTCAGATAATATCCAAAATAGGGGTAGAATTGTTAATCATCTTGACTCATCTTGTCTTACTCTATAAGAACATTGAACATTTTACACAAATGTATCCACTTTATATATTATTCTAGAGGCCAGATGTATCTCTAGCTCTCCACTGAAATGAAAGAGAATGTTAATGCTTACAGAAGTGTGGATAAGTAGCAGTAGCAGTAAGACATAAAAGTGGAAGGGGTGGAATATGTTGTAAACTATAATAATGCTTCAAGTTTAAATGCTATTAAACTGCTTTTTATTCAGGCATTTTATGACACGCTGATCAAAACATTGCAGAGAATTGGCACATCCTGTGAACTTTCAGCTCCTCGTTGTGATCATGGATTCAAAGTGCACAAATGCACAAGAGCAACTACTTCAACAGGGCCTTAAACCAGCTTGTATTTTCTGAAAAGCCACGAAAATTAGTTTATTACAAGTAGAGGTGGGACGAGACACGATTTCCACAAGACAAGAGAAGAGACTGTGTTTAAAAGGTCCAGTTCACAATTTGGCCCCCATATTTTTTTATTCATACAATGGCATGACATAATTTTTTATCATGAATGAGCTAGAGTTCATTTCAACTATTCCAAAGCTTGAGTGATTGATGTTCCCTGTCAGAGGGTGACAGAGGCCTCCAGGAGCACCCCAGGCCTGGTGTTAAAAACTGGAGCAGGAGAATCCTGTTGACCAGGATCACTATCTCTCCATCGGCTGCCCCACAGGCAGAGGCTCCATAGCTGAGAGTGGGCACACCCCTAACCTGTTCTGCAGGTAGCTCTTGGTCCCAGAGGCCCCAGTGCTCCACCCCCCCACTCCACTGCATAAAAACACAGGCAGCGAGCAGTAAGACACTCAGAGGCATCTGGTCCTTTCTGAAGCATCTCCTCTTCAGCTCAGCTCACACCCACTGCAAACATGTCCAGGAGAGCCATGTCTGTGTCCAGCTACAGCTCCAGGGGGTCTGTGGTCCCAGCCACCTCCAGCTTCAGTGTGAAGAGGAGCAGCTTCAGCTCCGGCTCTGCCTATGGCAGTGGTTCTGGCTTTGGAGGCGCCGCCTTTGGAGGATCTGCCTTCGGAGGTTCTGCCGGTGGCTACAGCAGCGGCAGCATGTTCTCCTCCAGCATGGCCGGTGGTTCCGGTGGCTTTGTGGCCCCTCCCATCACTCAAGTCACTGTGAACCAGAGCCTGTTGGCCCCTCTGAAGCTCGACATCGACCCCACCATCCAGACAGTCCGCACCAACGAGAAGGACCAGATCAAGACCCTGAACAACCGCTTTGCCTCTTTCATCGACAAGGTGCGCTTCCTGGAGCAGCAGAACAAGATGCTGGAGACCAAATGGAGCCTGCTCCAGGACCAGACCACCGCCCGCTCCAACTTGGACGCCATGTTTGAGGCCTACATCGCCAACCTCCGCAGACAGCTGGATGGCCTGGGCAACGAGAAAATCAAGCTGGAGGCAGAGCTCAAGAACATGCAGGGCGTGGTGGAGGACTTCAAGAGAAAGTACGAAGACGAGATCAACAAGCGCGCCATTGCAGAGAATGAGTTTGTTGTGCTGAAGAAGGACGTGGACGCCGCCTACATGAACAAGGTGGAGCTGGAAGCCAAGGTGGACGCTCTCCAGGACGAGATCAACTTCCTCCGCGCCGTGTACGAGGCCGAGCTGCGTGAGCTGCAAGGCCAGATCAAAGACACCTCCGTCATTGTCGAGATGGACAACAGCCGCAACCTGGACATGGACGCCATTGTGGCTGAAGTGCGCGCTCAGTACGAAGACATCGCCAACAAGAGCAAGGCCGATGCTGAGGGCTGGTACAAGCAGAAGTTTGAGGAAATGCAGACTTCTGCTGGACAGTACGGAGATGACCTGCGCACCACCAAAGCTGAGATCGCAGAGGTGAACCGCATGATCGCCCGACTCCAAAACGAGATCGAGGCCGTAAAGGGACAGAGGGCCAGCCTGGAGGCCCAGATCACAGAGGCAGAGGAGCGCGGCGAACTGGCCGTGAGGGACGCCAGACTACACATTAAAGAACTGGAAGAAGCTCTGCAGAGAGCCAAGCAGGACATGGCCCGACAGGTGCGTGAGTACCAGGAGCTGATGAACGTCAAACTGGCCCTGGACATCGAGATCGCCACCTACAAGAAGCTGCTGGAGGGAGAGGAGAGCAGGCTGGCCAGCGGAGGCGTCAACGCCACCATCCACGTGCAGGAGTCCTCCAGGGGAGTGAGCTCTGCTGCTGGGGGTTTCGGCTCCGGCTCCGGCTTTGGCTTTGGAGGCTCAGCCATAGGAGTGGGAGGAGGCTCCATCAGCAGGTCCTCCATCAGCACCACCAGCTCCAGCAGACGGTACTGAGCCAAGACCAAGTCCCGCCCGGCCCTGAAAGTGTTAAACTTAGAGAAGACATTTAAACTTGAAACAGCCTGAACATCATCATTCAGAAATGTGCAGTTTGAACTAATGCCTGTTGAACAGTTTTTCAATGTTTCTCTGCTAAGTTTAATATTCCTGTGAAGTTTCCCAAACCAGATTTATTTCACTTGTTAAAAAAGAAAAATGCAAGAATTGATACTAAATAAATCTGAGATTTAACCTCCAAGTCCTTCTT